GTTCTGGGAAGGAAAACAAAGGGCACTGAAGTTCTGGGAAGGAAAACAAAGGGCACTGAAGTTCTGGGAAGGAAAACAAAGGGCACTGAAGTTCTGGGAAGGAAAACAAAGGGCATTGAATCAGTGAGACAGAATCCTTCTAGCTTTCCAGTCTCCCACCTTCTGTTGAATATGAGCCAGAGCTCAGACAGTCACTTGAGCACAAGGACCACAAGAATGGAAGGTAGCCTTTGGGAGCAAGGCATGAAGACCAAGTCTATATTTCTGATCATGCCGGTGGGATGACAAGCCAGTCTTAGGCTGCATGTTTTGGGATATCTCTTACACAAGACACAAACTAGCTTTTATCTTAAGACACAGATACTTCATTTAGCTTTTTAAATATATTTTATAGTCCATGTAATATGATGCAAAATAAATTCAGGACTTGAAATAGCATCATCTTTGAAATGAACAATAACTAGTAAAACCGAATGAGAGTGAGAGAGACAGAGAGAGAGACACACACAGAGAGACACAGAGAGAAAGAGACAGAGAGGGAAAGAGAAAGGGATCTAAATGCTAACAGTAACCTATGAGCTTCAAATACAAAAAAGCTTAAGAACGTATATTAAAGGCATCTCACACAAACCAAGATAATACATGTTCAAAATCTTTGAGAAATAGTTTGTTATCAAACACAAAATACTCCATTTGACCCAAAATAAAAGTAAGTTCTGAATAGTCCAATAACCATATCCAAATAGGGTGGCGGGTTCAGATGGTTTTACTGCTGCATTCAATCTAAACTCAAACATCGTGTAATTCTTATGTTATTTAAATAATTCCATTCCACAGGAAAAATGATATGTCTTTAATTCATTGCCTAAAGTATTATGAAGATAGCACACAAGAGAAAATTATATGGACTACAATTACAGATATAAAAGGAAGAATTTCAAATAAACTATTAGATGTCTGAATCCAGATATCCATTTTTTAAATTATATGATACAGCAAATGAAATGCATTCCAGTAACACAAGGACTTTGGAATCACAGACTTTATCAACATATTTTATTATATCAACAATCCCAGGCATATCAATCGCAGCTGAAAGGCTATTCAGTAAAATGCAAAGCTATTGTGAATAACCGTACGGAAGAAGGATGAGAAGAAGGCCACTGAAAAATAACAAATGCTAGTTCCAAAAAACGGCAGATGATATTTTAAAGAATAAAGCATTAAAGGTATTTCCTATTAAAACCTGAGATCTGATCCTGTCATTGTCCCTTTACGATCTTTGGAGCAGTAGCTAATGCAAAAGACACAAACAAACTAAAAATCGAAACATTCATGAAGGACATTGGAGGAAAGGGACAGGCTGAATGTAATTGTAGCACTAAAAGATATCTCAAAATTTGTTCTAAGTCATGTGAATTCAAAAGATAAGTGTATGATAAACAAAAATATAGTTTTTTAATATTTGAAATCAATAATATAGATTAGACAATAAATTCCACTCAGAATAGCATTGGCATTTAAAATTTTGGGTCTGTCTATCTGTCTGTTCGTCTTTCCATCCATCTATCTATCTATCTATCTATCTATCTATCTATCTATCTAAGCTATCTATCTGAAACCAGCTGTTGAAGCATCAGTGACCAGGAATTGTGTGAAGTAGCAAGTTTAGGTGTATAAGCTATGTCAGTTCTAAAAAACAAGAAAACCGGGGCAAAGGAAGGGTGAGAGATTTAGATTTAAGGATGTTTGACTCAAGACTTGGTCTTCTTATATACTGGTCTACTCAGATAGCTTCTACTTACACACTAAAAATTAGGCTAGATATGCCTTCTAGAAAATTCCTCGAACCACACCTGATGCAAAGGAAATCATCAAACTGTAACAGAACTTAAAATAATATCAGAAAAAAAGGGAAAGAAAGATCAAGAGCCTTGATGGAGGACATAACTGGGTAAGAATCTTAACTCAAGCTGAGCTCATAATATAAATGATCAATCCTGATGATCTTTATAGATATTTATAAACTTGAACATTTTCAAGACCAACTAACACAGATTCATGTGGCTATTGAACAAGGTCAATTGAATCAAAGCTAAATAAAAACAAATCAGAGCTTTATCATTGCTGCAATGATATAAATTTACTTTGTAAAATTCCCTTCACAAGCAGGCACTTGGATAAGCAATAAATTTGCGGTTGCGCCATGTAAGTGAATTCTGTTGTCAGATAACTTTGAACCTGGAAATAACTGAAGACTCATGAACACATCAGTGTTTGTCGAGATCCCGGGTCTGTCTGTCTTTGGGAAATCTCATTTCCAGGTTGGGGTGGGTAGAGGGAGGTGGCCAACAGATTGGAAAGAGCCTTTGCATAGGGGGTAGTTTGTATCTTGGAGGGTGGGATGGTTGCTAATGAGTTAGAATACTTTTTGAGCTATTTCCATATAAATACCATGTCAAGGTGTTCTAGCTCAGGATGGGGGGACTATCTTCAACACAGCCAGATCTCCTTGACAGTTTAAGATCAATTAGAGGTAAGAATTGGCAGAAGGAAAGGTAGTGGAGGTTGCTGGCAACCAGAGGCAG